ACTATTATTATATGTTATTATTGTCTGTTTATATTATTGTAGGCACTTGTTTACTTCGGGGGACCCGCACGCGATCACGCTGACGTATAGCGACAAATATATACACGCTCACACACTATGAGCGACGCGTTCACATAGACCGAGGCCACGCCCACTGCGCATGGCCTCAGCCTAAGCGTAGTCTCAGCCTAAGCCTAAGCCTGAGCTCGCTTGCTAGCCTCTGTTGTGACATCGAGCGATCTGAAGCTACGCTTAGATGAGGCTGAGGTTACACTTAGGCTTAGGCCATGCGCAGTAGGCGTGGCCTTAGTTGCTATACGCGAGCGTGGTCGCGTGCGGGTCCCCTAAAGTAAACAAGTGCCCTATTGTATATGTTGTTAGTGTATATATTAATATTATTATATGTATTATTATTGTATACGTAATTGTATATACTATTATTATCTATGTTATTATTGTGTTTATGTTATTATTATCGTTTGATCATTTAATTTGCAGTGATCGACCCGTTCAGCGACGATAACCCGTTCGAATCGAGCTCAAAAAGCCAAACGCAAGCAAAATCGGCGCCGCCCCCTCGACCCGAACCACCCAAAACAAAACAGACATTCACTCAGAACGTCGACCCGTTCTCGCAAGTGTTCGTTTTATTTATTTATTTATTTATTTATTATTATTGTTATTATTATTTTTTTATTGTTGTTATTGTCATTAATTATTATTATTAAAATAAATATTTATGTAAATAATTCCAGAGATCCGTTTCAATCAAATCAAGACGCAAGTAATACGCCGAATCAATTCGCCAACTTTGCTAATTTTGATGCGTTTCCATCGTAATTATTTATTGTTTGAGGAGTAATAATCATTTTTTATTGTGAACTATAGTTTTGTATTATTTATTATTACTATTACATTATTATTATTTATTATTATTATTACTGATCGATTCTGAGTTACCATTGTTAGTTATCACTGTAGTGGTTAGTTGGTGTTTCTTATAATTATAATATTATTATAGTTATTAT